AGCCTGCTTCTCCCTCTCCCACTCCCCCTGCTTGTGTTCCCTCTCTCTCTGTGTCTCTCTCTCTGTCAGATAAATAAAACTTTTTAAAAAAAAAGAAAAGGGGCCTGAAGGTGGGTGATTAGTAGATAAACAACAAGCCCACAAACCCCTGGTCGGGGCCCAGTTTCGCTGATCCCATGGTTCCCACCCTTGGGAGGGCCCATGAAAGTTCTATCCCTGGGAGACATTATTTTGTGGCCAGAAATTCATTATACTCCTCCACCTTTCAGTTGGAATAAAGCCAGGTGATATGAAGCCTGCCGACACTACCAGCAGTCAAAGGCAAGGTAGAAAAACACCTGCCGGGCCTGCTGGGCCCTCAGAAACCCAGAGGGGCCGCTCAGCCAGTTCCCTTCCCCACATGTCTGGGCGTGGCTCACTTCATTCCATCCCAACCTTCTCCCACTCCAGCTTCCCCAGGGCTTCGGGGATGGGCACCTCCCCCAATCTGCAGCCCTGGCCCAAGGGATGAATGTGAGCTGATGGGGTCACAGATAAAGACTCTTCCAAGAGAGGAAAGCCTGGGTCAGAGGCTAAGGGCTCGGGAGAGGGCAGTGGTCTCAGAAAGTGTGCGTGGTAGGGGCAAGGAAGGGAGGGAATGAGAGCGGCCAGGTGAGGGGCTGGGTCTCTCGTGAGCGTGAGCAACACCAGAAGAGAGGATGATGCACAACAGGGGCTTCTGGCAGGGTTAAGACAAAGCAAGGGAGGAAAAGGGCCCTTGGGGGACAGAGAAGGAAAACAATACCTGGGGCAGAAGTGGGAGAGGGCTAATGAGGGGTGGCTTTGTGGCATCTGAGTCTGGGGGGAGCGTGGGCTAGGGTTTGGGTTGAAAGGGTCCGTAAGTTACTAACAGGTGGAGAAAGGCTGCCTCCACAGGGTCACTCCTGTCTTTGAGAAGAATCCATGAAACCCAAAGCAATCCCCCATCTCTGAGCCATAGGCAAGCATGGGAGGAATCTGACTCCAAGCTTACCCAACACAGAACTGCTGTAAAAGTCCCAGGACACGCCAGGGTCACCCTCTGCCCGGCCCTGAAGATCCGAGAGGTGATCTGATGAAAGAAGAGAAGGCAGTGAGACAAGGAGGGTAGGCTGGAGAAGGATCTAGAAACAAAGTATGTCCATAGAGGGCTAGGAGGACGGGAGAAGGGAAGGAAGGACCACAAGAGGGCCTGGGAGCTACCAGAGAGAGATACATTTCCTGCTGTTAATCAGAGGTTGCCAACCAGTAGCCAGGAGCCAAATCTAGCCCACTGACCACCTGGAGTTTGGCCCAGTGTTTTAAACCAAAAATAAATAAATAAATAAATAAATAAATAAATAAATAACGTTGAAGTTTTTAAAATTGAGAGATTTCACCTAAAAATCCCAATTTCCAACTTTTCCTAAAAAAAAAAAAATCAGAAAATCTGGCAACCCTGCATCCCACATTCCTGCATGTCAACAGTTGGCTGGAGGGGAGAGGCGACATGTGCGTTCTCTGGCTCAACAGTCCCCACCCAGCCTGCTCTGCTCTCCTCCATGATCAGCCCAAAGGCATTTAGGTCTGGGATCCCTGCTCTTAGTGGTGTAAGGAATGGACTCTGCGAGCAGAATCTTAGACCTATCCCAAGATTTCAATTCCCCCTGCAGGTCACAATGTTCATATAGCCAATCAGGATCTCTCCAATTCAAAGTAAGATAAGGAAGCATAATTCCTTCTGTTTCATCTTTGGAAAACATGGGGGAGAGGGCCAAGTTTATGCTTCCACTCCTAGGTATATACCCAAAAGAATTGAAAACAGGTGTTCAAACAAAAACTTATACACAAATGAATGTTCATAGCAGGTCTACTCGCAATAGCCAAAAAAAAAAAAGTGGAAACGACCCAAATGTTGTTAAGCTGATGAAGGGATAAACAAAACATGGTCTAGCCATGTAATGGAATATTATGCAGTTATAAGAAAAAGCAAAGTACTGAATGAACCCTAAAAACATTACACTGAATGAAAGAAGCCAGACACGAAAGGCCATATACTGTATGATTCCATGTATATAAAATGTCCAGAACAGGCAAATCTAGAGACAGAAGGCAGACTGGTAGTTGGGAAGGAACAGGAAGTGACTGCCTAATGGGCACAGGGTTTCCTCTTGAGGTGATGAAAACATTCTGAAACTCAGCGGGGATGGTTGCACAACGTTATGAATGTACTTAATGTCACTCAATTGTACACTTTAAAATGGTTAAAATAGTACATGTTTTGCTCTAAGTATTTTGCCACAATAAACACATTTTAAACCACCTTCTGCTTACTTGACCCGAGGACAGACAGCAGGTCGCCGCTCCGCCTCCTTATTTCCTGGCTAAGCAGCATCTATGAGATTGTCTCACCTCGCAACCCCGTGTGGACAAAAAGCAGGTTTTCATGACAAACTCAACCGTGTCATCTGTGGGCATGTGGCCCCGTGGCTGCCAATATGCTACCTAGCCCTGCTGGCAAGCTGACTTAGCTCTGTATGCGTGCTACCTGTCCTCAAGCGACACCTGGCCACAAGGACGGGCGAGAGTCCAAAGGGCACAGGCGACCTGAGGGCACCCTCGCTGAGCCAAATCCCAGGGGCAAGATGGCAGCCCCTCCTGAAGGCCCGAAGCTAGTTTCCCCCAGTGAAAGGCACCACCGCACTCCAACAGCCTGCCCTTTTGGGTCACACATCCTCTCAGCAAAAATGCCTATTAGCTGTTGTGAGCTACTGAAAGAAGTTTTTAGCAACCTTCTAGGAGATTACAGCTTTCTTCTGGCAGGAAAAAGCAGCCAGAGAGAGCTTTCAAAATAATGGCTGAGCAGCTACAGTGGGAAACCTTTAGTCACGTACATTAGATCTTTTTCTATGTACTCGGCAAAACAACGCTGAGGTCACCACTGGCCATTTGGGCACTTCTCTGGACCCCGTGCCCCTTGAGACTTGGAAGGAGTTTCTGCCAGAAGCATCAGTTAGGCAGGTGCCCATTCTGTGCCTGGCCTTGTGCTAGGTGTCCTGGGAGAGGAAGGTGTGAGAGCCTAAGTTTCCAGAAGGCGGGCACCACGTCTGTCTTGCTCATCGCTCTCTCCCCATGGCCTAATAAGCCCAGGTTCCGGGAACATCGTAGGAACACAATAAATATACGGGGAGGAAAGGGAGGGAGGAATTACCATGAGGCGAGACCAAAAGTAGCGTGCTTGCTTAACCAGCAGGCCGAAACATACGGGTCCCCGATGACTGCTGCCCCTCCCCACTCCGGGGAGGTCACTCGGCGACTCCGGCAGGCAGAGCAGCCCTCGCTCACCAGATTCCTGGGGCTCCTCTCTAGGGCCTGCCTTCTGAAACCCCGGCATGGCACAGGCCGCTAATTCTCCCCGCCGAGACCGAACCTGGGGCCCCTGCAGGTGAATGTGCCTTTCAGGGGCAGCCCAGTGTGAATCGGCAGGAAGAGACGCGTCCGTGGAGCACGTCCGCGAGCTGCGCCCCAGAAGCAGCTCCGCGGCTGGCCTGATGGCGCAGCTTCTGGTCGCGCCGCTGCACAGGCCTCCACGTACGATCAGGACAAGGAGTGCCTTGCCTCTCCCTTGACTGGCTCTTGCCCCCGCCCACCACGCTCAGTCCTTTACACTTTTCCTCTCCTCTGAGAAGTGCCCTCAGCCCGGCAGTCCTGCTCCGGGGTACGTGGCCGCGACGACTGGAAACAGGTGCTCACGTCCATGCGCGCGCACGTGTTCCCAGCAGCCCCAGCCACAACCACCAGCAGGCGGGCGCCACCCGCACGTCCCGCAGCCGGTGAGCGGCGACAGCGTGCCAGAGCCGTGCGGTGGCATACTCCTCAGCCTTCAGAAGGAAGTACTGAAACATGCCACCTCGTGGACGGACCTTGAAAACGTGACGCTACGTGAAAGAGGTCGGACTCAAAAGGCGCCGTGTTGGCCGAGTCCACTTACATGTCATGTCCAGAATGGGCAAATCCAGAGAGACCGGGAGTAGATGGGTCGCTGTTGGGGGCCGGGGTGGCGGGGGGCGGGGAGGATGGAGAGCAGCTGCTTAGTGGGTGTGGGCCTTCATTTTGGGGGTGATAAACATGTTTTGGAACCAGATAGAGGCAGTGGCTGTACAACGTTGTGAATGCACGAAACGCCACTGAATCGTTCCATTCGAAGTGCTTGATTTTATGTTCTGTGAATTTTGTCTCCACAAAAAATGTTTTAACTACTCAGTGCGAGCGGTCACCCTGGCAGTCAGCTTCTCTCTTTCCCAGGGTCCCACCATACCGCTCCCCGTGTCCTCCAACCAAGTCACCAGCCAAGGGACATGAAAGGGGAGAAAAACCAAAAACAAGCAGTCTTTGACACGGGGTCGTATGGCAGAGGTCTCCGGCAGGAAAAACAAAACCTGTGATTCCCTGACCTCGAGGGGGTACACTGCTAACCCTTTCATCAGTGGAAGAAAAAGCAGTGCCGGTATTTCCTCGGACGCCCCAAACCAAACTGCAACAACTCCCCTCGGCCCCCACATTCTTTCTGACAGAGCAAGGACACGAATCTGTTTTCCCTTGACTAGCTTGGATATTATTCTTTTCTTCAAAGGGTCAAAGGCAAATCGGTCACATGCCTGCGTGTAATTTGGCCCAAGGAGGAGGTCTTCCACAGGCCTCTCCGAGAGTCTGGATGGCCTGGTGCTCCAAGCCTGAGGACGAGAGAAAGGGCTCCGCTGCCTGACCTCCAGTACCTGAAACCCAACAGGGGGCTCAATAAGCACACGGATGAGGGGTGCCACCATACCCTTCCTGATCTCAGGAGAAATGGGCCTCACTTTAAGCCAACTCAATAAAGAAAAATCCACACTTATAACCCAGATGCGAAAGGATTCACTCCAGGATATTTGTAATTAGTGACATTCCTTTGTGTATTTAAAAGAGGATTCGATTCCCAGACTTTTCCAAAACAGGGACCTCGCGCAAAGAGAGGGAAGCTCTACACCACGAGCAACACCAAGGCTTGAGCTCATCTTCTCCACCTGCAGAAAATGGAGCCCTTCGCACCCTACCAGGATTCGCCTTCATCTTCGGTCCAGTGGGATCTCCGCCGGGGGAGGAAGAAGACAATCTATAGAGAGTCTGGTCAGGCAAATGCTTGGGGATGAAAAGCAAAAAGCTTTTTAAATACCTCAGCCAGATAGGCAAGGTTAAAAAAAATTAATAAATCCAGAAGTCCACCCAAATGCATCCAGGTTTAGGGGCTGAGGAGGGGGGCAGTGAGGGGAAACGCCTCCCAAACTTCCAACCCCAGGGTGCCTTCTGCAGCCACTCTGCCGCCCTGTGCAGTGGTTCCGTGAGATTTGCTGGCGGGGAGGCTGCCGGAATTCAAAAAGAGAGCAAAATACGAGGTTCAAGGAATTAAGCTCCTGATGATGGCGCATACGATATTGTGAATACACTAAGTACCACTGAACCATTTGCTTCCAAATGGTTAGATGAAGTGAATTTCACCTCAATTAAAAAAAAAAAAAAAGCTTGAGTATTATCTTCTCATCCCCCCAAAACAAACTTTGGGCCCAAGTCCCCTCTCCCAGGAGCCTCTGACTGCTGCCCGTGCCTGCCTCCCCAGGGTGTTGGGCCAAGGTCCTAGCCTGGCTTGCCGGCACTATCCCAAACAGCTGGCCAGAGATCTGCCTTTGATGGGCACTTGATATTTGCATGGAAAAGAGGTGGCTCTGTTCCAACACTCCCTTCAGTTCCTGGCCCCCATTACGGTACTGAAGCTCCGTGCCTATGAGGCTGAGAAGCAGTGTTAAGATTTGAACGAAGGTGTTTGGCCTGGACAGGCTACCAAGGACCAGAATTAAGAAAACTCTTCTCTTGGAGCACTTGGCTGGCTCTGTCAGTAGAGCATACGACTCCTGATCTCAGGGTGGTGAGTTCGAGCCCCCACGTTGGTTATAGAGATTACTTAAAAATAAAATCTTAAAAAAAAGAAAAGAAAAAAGTCTCTTGACTCTGCAACATGGGCTGGCATTCTGGTTAGTTTAAGAAGGCATCAAAAGGCTGGCTAGTAGTTGGGATTAGCTAATGGAAATGAGAGGGAAAAATGTGTTTTGTTTCTAAATTTTTAACTACTGAAAATGGTTTCAACATTTGGATTCCTTTGGGATTTTGGAGAAGGGGTCAGGGAAGAAAAGAGTTTGTCTGCTTACTAAGGTGGTCAGATAGCTTTATTTGGATCCAGAGAGCCCCGAGACCCTCAGGAGGGCAGTTTCTAGCCCCAAGAGAAGCCCTTGGATTAAACCTGTTGATCAGAGACAGAGCTTCATGTAGTGTTTTTATCATGTTGAGAAGTTCTGGGTGTTCATCTCTGTCGGCTTCTCCTGGTAATCAAGTCGAGGGCAGACGTGTGTGTGTGTGTGTGTGTGTGTGTGTAAGACAGTGCACGTGGCACATGGTATAGGAGAAAAGGCCACAAAGGGTGGCTTGCCCTGAGCCCTGCGCCTCCATGACAGTGCAGTCAAAGTGAACAAGAATCATCACTAGCCCAGGACAAATGACGAAATGAGCATCCCCAAACTCCTCGGCCCTTCACGGACAGGGGCCCGGGACCCCAGAGCTGAGGAGGGAAAAGGCAGTCCTGCCCCTAGCCAGAAAGGCTTGGTTCCAAAGGGAGGCCTGAGGCCTGTACATGGTGACCAGTGACTGCAGGGTCTAGCTGGCTTGACTGGGGGCTGGATGGAGGCTGGCTGAGCAGGGGTCAAGGTCTCCCTCCACGGCCTCCCATCACTTCCCCTTCGGCTTTTGTTAGTACGAGGTGGTGCTTCCCACCTAGTCCTCCTCCCATGGGGACCTTTAGTTCATGTTCCTTTGTTTCTCCCTCCATCATCAGCTATCTAGTTAACCTTTGTTCAAGAAATAAATGATCCCCTGGCTGGGAACCCAGAACTGTATCTTCAGGGAGGTGGGCCTTTAGGACTAACGAGGGCCACAGCCCGGGTGAGACTGAGTGGCCTCGAGCAAACCCTTGGTCCCATGGGCTCCTGCTCTGAGAGGGGTTCAACCACAAACATGGAAGCCTCCACAGAGGGGCAACGAGACGACTGCTAGCTGCTTCAGGTCTGCCCAGCGCTCTGGCAGTCTGAAGAAGAAACTGCTAGAGCAAGGGCCGAGCTGTGATGTCACTAAGGAGGTGGGGTTCCTTCATTCGGTCAAGTCTGAGCAGATTCCCAGTGAGCATACCTGTACTAGACTTCCCTCCTTCCCTCTGCCCTGCTGCCCAACTCGGTAGAGCTATCGAACTGCAGACAAACAGTGGCTATCCACTAATGAGAAAATAAATGCATGTTGCCTTGTGGCTCTTGCCATGGGCCTGAACACCAGGCACTTTTCTCAAGGGGCCAGGTGAGGGAGGAAGAACGAGGGAAGGGAGGCGCCGGGGGAATGTCAGTTACCACAGGCAGGGGCTGTGAGAAGCAGACCATCAGGGACGCCCGGGCGGCTCAGTCGGCGAACCGTCTGCCTTCGGCTCAGGTCATGGTCCCAGGGTCCTGGGATCGAGCCCCGCATCGGGTTCCCTGCTCCGGGGGAAGCCTGCTCCTCCCTCTCCCTCTGCCCCTCCCCCCTGCTCATGCACACGCACGCTCTCTCTCAAATAAATAAAATCTTTAAAAAAAACAAAAGAAACACAGCATTAGGAGGGGTCCCGAGGGTTCCACTCTGATCACCAACAAGGAGAAAGTACAAAGACAAAAGCAAAACGCTAAGTGTCATTTCTTTGTAACTAACATCCCACTCAGAACAGGGGTCAACACATTTTGCCCACAGCTCAATCTATTAGTGGGGCCGCTGTCTCCCAAGGAGGCCTACCCCACATACCCCACTGGGAAATGGGTCCCTGTGGGCCGCCATGGCCCTGAAGAGGAGGCATGCGATATGGACACTCAGGGCATAGGAATAAGAGGAAGTGGACCTCTGGGCTTTTTAGAGTGCGCAGAGATTTCTGAGACACTTCAAGGAAAGCCTGTAAAGAGGGCTGACGCCCCTCAGGGGAGCTGTTTGAGACGGAGGGAGGTGAAGAATACCTCCTTAGGAGTTCAGGAATGAGAGGCCAGCCCCACGGATGATGGCTTCAAGCCTGGGCTTTGCTTACCGCTGAGAAAGCGCTTCATGGTGTCGCTGCTGGCCAGCTTCATGGCTGTCTGTCCTGAGTAGGTGGCCAGTGTCGGGTCAGCCCCATAGGACAGCAGGAGCCAGATGGTCTCCAGGTTGTCATTGACCACCGCGTCATGAACTGGCCTGCAGAGGTGATACAGGGTGAGGACAATGGATGGGAACCTGGGTGTCTAGCACCAGGCTATTTCCTCAGGGGAAAGTAACATAAGATGAGCCCAGAATAATGCGGGTAAGAGTTAGGGTAGAGGAACCACCTCTGAACTGTACCCACCATCAGATCTCCCCACTTCCTTCTCCTCTCTCTGCCTCTTTCTCCTCCCTCCCATTTCTCTCTTAGGTTCTCCCTACACTTTGGGACAGTCCCTGAGGTGCACTGTAGCCCCACTGGTTGCTCTGGAGTTTGGGAGAGAACGGGCCCCCCTGACTGAGGATAAACTTAAAGTAGATGCTGGGGGTATGAACAGAAAGATCTGGATGACCACCCTGGAGCAGGGATGAGCGGAGTGGCTCCACACACTAGGTGGCGGCCAAGCAAAGCCTGGGTCCTCTGACCCAAGTCCCCTTATTTGCTAAGTAGCTCATGTCTCAATTTGGCCCAGGAAGTAGGCCCTCTGATAGAGGCGAATGGGTATAGTTTCTTTAAGACACAGCAGGTGTCTTTTTTTTTTAAAGTGTACAGACATCAAATCAAGAATCAAATCTGGGACGTGACCCTAAGGTGGGCCTCCCCGTTCCTAAAGCCTAAGACTCTGCTGAAGACAGATGCACCACCAGGAGGATGTGAGGGACGCCTGAGTGGTGTTCCTGGTAAAGCTGCACTTGACAGGATGATCCCTAAATAACCCCAACCTCTCCTTAGTAACAGATGTGGGCTGGCCAGCCAGGAACTCATCCACCCCTGCCCTAAACCGCTTCCCCCTGCAGTCTGTAGCCGTCTTCCTGAGACACTTCCTGACAAGGCCTGGTGTGCTGCGAAGGTCCAGGCTGCAGCAAGTTCTCTGGAGTGAGGGGCTGAGCTGGGGGGGGGCGCGGGGGCTGGGGAGCGGTTTCTTGCCTCGTGCCATCCTGCGCGCTGCAGTTCACGTTGGCCCCGTGCTCCAGCAGGATGTTCAGGATGTCAGTCCAGCCCCTGGAGCAGGCCTCATGCAGGGCTGTGTAGCCAGCGTTGTCACGGTGATTCACGTCTTCACTGTCCTTCTGGAGGCAGTAGAGAACAACGTCCTGTAGGGACAGGGACAGCTCCATGAGTAAAGAGAGGCCTAATTCTTGAAATCACCCCAGTTAGGCTCGAAGCTCTTCAAATGCCCAAAGAGGAAGTCTTAGACCTGCACTTTATCCCGGGGAATAACGGGCAAGTCTCAAAATCTTTCGTCAACGAAGTCAGTCCTGTGGTGCCATGGCCTGGGCCTGGGCTCTCAGCTAGTTCCTTGGAAGTGGGGAGACACGTCTTATGACCAAGGATACTCACTCATCTGGGTGTGGGTTGTTGGGGTGAGGTCTGCAGAGAGGCTCACCAGCCCACCTGGAGCTCACACTCTCAGGCCTCAACTCCCCGAGCACTGGTTCCCTAGTCCAGGGCTTTGTAAGACAGCACCAGACCAGAGCAATGAGGCATGTGGTGGCAAACACAGCCTCTGGTGGTAATTGGAGAGCAAGGAAGAAAAAAATTGGTTGAAGTTCTATCTCTGGAGGCTAGTTTTAATTGTTTTCAGCACTGTCCCTGGATGTTTATCCCAGGGCAGTCAGTTCTAGCCCTCCCCTCAAATCAGGATTGCTCTGAGCATAACCCAGTGTGGTCATTCATTCACATAGTAATGATTAGCCTCCCTGGGCTACACGACAGGACCAGAGGCAGGACTCCAGGACTAGAAGCACCCCAGCTGGTCTGGGATGAAGCTGGTGAATCAGCTGAGCGGGAGGGGAGAGACAGCCCCTCTTCTGAGGGGAAGACGTAGGCAGCAGTACCAGGGGCCTATTACCAGCCCTCTCCCAGTCCCTGGGGACACAGGTAGCTCAGGCACCCTGACTGACAGCTAGCTCACAGGCTGGCCGGCTAGAGCAAGTGAGTGAGAAATGAGAAAGTGAGCGAACAAGCAGGCGAGTGTGTGCCAGTGTGTGTGGGGGGGTGCTGTCTCTTGGATGTACAGGAACTATCCCATTCCCTGCACTCAGGAGAGCGTAAGGCCCCTACCCTCCTCACCAATGCAGACAATGTTGGCCTCTTCCCTCAGGCCTCAGACTGCTCCTCCTGCCCTCCCATGACAGGCTGCCCGACCTGCTCCTGTCCTGTCCTGGTTGGTTCTCCTGCCGTCTCCTACTTGCTGGTTTGGCCCCAGGTAAAAGAAGATTACACTTGAGGGCAGGGGTTGGTCATCTTTTTTCCTCAGATCTCCCTTGGCACCTACCCCGGCCCCCAAACCAGGCGCTCAAGAAAAATGGGCAGCTTGCCAGTGAGCCACTGCCAAGGTAGTTCTCCTGTGCCGACCAGCCTGGCTGGGCATGCGATCGTCTTTAAATGAGTCAGTTATATGGATCAGAAGCCTTAAATCAAGGCCTGCTCTAAAATCCAGCAGTTCCACCCTTAAGAGCAAATCCTTAGGAAATAATTGGTATGGTGGGCAAAGATACATGGTCAAGGAGTTCATATCAACAAAAGTGTCCAAAAACAACATTTTATCATGGTCACGGAGTCAGGCTTCCACCCTACCCTGGCACTTGGGAATCAAAAAGACCCTGGTGGGAATTCAGACTCATATATATGTAAGAGTTGAACGGTCTTGGACACACCATTTAGCACTGCTATGCCTTGATGTTCTCACGCATAAAATGGAGCGAATAAAACCTACCTCCACAGGTCAGTGGTGAAGATGAAATCATATGAAGTAATCAGAGCTCTTAACATGACCAAAGTGGTGCTCGATAAATGCCAGTTCCCTTTCCTGCTTTCTTTCCACCCCCTAGGGAAGCAGTGTGGGGGCGGAGAGCCAATGCACAACTGACTCTCCCGCATGGGAGCCCAAACGAAGGGAAGCTGCAGGGTGTGAAGAGTGAGTGATGATCACCCCTGTTCCTCTCTGAGTGAGGGAGCCGCCACAAAACAAAGCTCAAGACAACATCGAAACCCCATTTCTGGCCTAGGAATGTGTTGGGTTATCAATATTTCAATTCTTTTCATTCCCAATTGATATTCAAATGAGGTTGCGTACCCACACTCCCTGAGAGCAGCTAGGCGGCCCCAGAGACCATCTGGGCAATACAAGGAGTCCAGGGGGGTGTTGAAGCCCAGACCACCGAAGAGCCAATGGGGAGAAGCTTCTCCACAGACACTGGGGCTCTCCCTACCTTATAGCCAAGACGCGCCGCCCGCTGCAGGAGGGTCTCGCCTGCGTTTTTGTTCACTATGAGCCGACGTGCCTCTGGGGGGATCTGCCGGGCTGTGGGTGACTCGGAGGCCTCCTCTGGGCCGGCACTTCGGGACTTAGAGGGTGTGCATGGTTCCGTGGGTTTCACTGGGGTGGGAGATTTGGGAGATCGTGTCTTCTGCTGGCTCCAACGACCTTTGCCCTGGAAAGCAGAGATGGGGGGGCGGTCCTGGATCAACGCAGGCTCCCATCCGCTCCCACCCGGACAGCAGATGCTGAGGGGCTCAAATCCTCAACCACATAAACCAACGAATGACCAAGGGATCAGAAATCAGAGACCGAGGGCACATCCAAGCTTCCCCCAAACACTCCGCTTGCCTGCTTTACCTGCCTCAATCCCCATTTGTTGAGGTTTTGGGACAAGTCCTGTTTCTAAATGAGTGAAGCAAACTGAGAGCAAAGAGAATTGGAGACAGGTATCTTTGACTGAAGAGGCACAGCTGCTAAAGCCTTCACTCTTGTTGTAAAAACCTGCCTTCTAACCTACCCCAGCGTCTTCCCACCTTCCTCCACATCATGGCCCTAGATCACATTCATGCCCACCTTGGGTGGTGGAAAGCACTCGGGCTCAAGAGTCAGATAGACGTAGGTTTGGTATCTTGCCTCTGCCACCCACTAGCTACAAAGCCTGGGTTAAGGCCCAACCTCTCTGAGCCTCACTTTCTCCCTTGTGGGCTCTTCATGTGGGGAGTGTTAGAGGAACTGTGTTCGAGGAACTGAACTCCAGGAACCAGACCCAAGGAGCCTCATTTGCACCTGGACCTAAGTTAGATGATGAGATTCTAAACTGGGAGCTGGGGGCACCTGGGTGGCTCAGTCGGTGAAGCATCTGCCTTCAGCTCAGGTCATGATCTCAGGGTCCTGGAATCGAGCCCCGAGTCTGGCTCCCCGCTCATCAGGGAGCCTGCTTCTCCCTCTGCCTCTCCCCCCACCCCCACTCATGCTCTCACTCATTCTCTCTCTCTCTCAAATAAATAAATAAATAAAATAAAAAAAAATAAACTGGGAGCTGATGTCATAACTGGACAAGACTTTGGGGGGCCTTGGGAGAGGTAGGTCTGCCTTGCGTGTGGGAGGGACATGAATCATTGGGCGACCAGAGGGCAGACTTTGCCCTCATCAGATTCTAAGATGGCCCCTGATGATCCCTCCTGATATTTGTGCTCTCATGTAGCCCCCTCCTGCAATGGACAGGGTTGACCTGTGTAGCCAACAGGAGAGTGCAGAGGTGACAGTGTTTGACTTCCAAGGCCACTTCCTGAAAGACAATGTGGCTTCAGCCTTTCTCTCTTTTGGATCACTTGTTCTGGGGGAAACCAGCTGCCACGTCATGAGGACACTCAAGCAGTTCTTTGGAGAGGCCCCCAGGGCAAGGCAGGGAGGCGTCTCCTGCCAATGACCAGCCATGCGAGGGAGCCCCCCTGGAAACGGACCCTCCTGCCCCAGTCAAGCCTTTGGTTTAATGGAGCCCTGGCTGACACTTTGACCGCAAACTCGTGGCCTCAAGCCAGACCCAGCTAAGCTGCTCACGAACCCCTGATCACCAGAAGCTATGGGAGATAGTATGTTTGCTGTTGCGTTGAGCTAAGTTTGAGGGTAATCTGTTAGACCACAAGAGACAACTAATACATACCACTTATCCAAATCCCTCAGAGTATTACCAAGGTCTCATGGAAATCCTATGTCTTCTATAACATTCTATGATACTCTAGCCTTCCTTCTCCACATATCCAGGGCACCTAGCCTGAAACAAATAACCTGGTACTTGATGCCGGACTTTTGACTTCCTTCCACTATTTCATGGGCAAGTCTGGCCTCCCCTGTTAGGTTTGAGGCTCCTTTGGGGCAGGGTTCGTACTGTCATATTTGCTTTTATTTCTTACAGCACTTCACTCAAGGCTGGACACATCATCACAACAAATACTTGTTGATTTGATTCAAGCCAGCTCTGTGCAGCGCCCTGGGCAGACTGAAAAGTTACCTAGAATATCATGAAGCCCGGGAAGGGATGGCAGCAGGGAAAAGACCAGAGCCCAGGGCATTTGTCTCCTCTGGTAAATCCCCAGACAACCAGAGCTGCTATCCATCCCCATCCCCAAAGGGCAGAGAGGTCCAGTCACTAGCAGGAAGGCACTGCTGAGGAGTGTAGAGTGGCGCTCTACTACCATGAGGACAGAGGTAGAAAATGGCACTACTGGAGGATGATGGGTAAAGTGCCTAGGTTTTTGCTAAGCCAAGCCAGGAGCCAAAGGGTGACTCTCCTTCTGGGGGCAAGAGCCGCCAGAGACAAGCGAGGCTGCCTGAGAGGGGGAGGAGCAAGAACAAATGAGGGCCCCCTCCCCTCTTCCTCCCTGGCTCAGAGCCCCTGTGGGAAGAAGCCTTTGGCCAATGCCCCAGCTTTAGTGTCGCAGGCGCGTCTCCCGCCCTCCCCCCGCCCCGCTTCCCACTACAAAGCACCGTGCCATGGGGGCATCCAGAGCAGGTGGTGGTGACTGGGAGAGAAAGAAAGGCGGGAGGGAGAAAGGGAGGCCCTGTGAAGGGACAAAACCTCTCTGGGAGGAACATTTCTGCAGACACACTGCCAGGCGGAATAACCAGACACAACTCTCAGCGTGTGTTGCTGAATGTCAGGCGGCCAGTCACCTTTGTGTGGGACAGGGCCATCTGAGTGTCTGGGGAGGAGCGGGGTGGGGGGAGAGGAGGGGACGCCCACCTTTCACCAGAGCCGCTCAGCGTTGCAGTGTGTCCCTGCCTGGCCGCCCCCACCCCCAGCGTCTCCCGGATACAGCCAGAAGCCACCCATTGACGGGGTGGAGGCACACGGGAAGAGCTGGGACAGTGAGGCCTGCTTCCCGTCCTGACTCTGTCACTCGTGACCCCTGAATAACCTCATGCCAGTCCCTTAGCCTCCCAGAGCCTCGGTTTCCTCACCATAAAATGAGGACTACAGTGCCTACCTCTCACAGCCACTGTGGGAATTAAGAACGACTACGTGAACGGAGCCCTCAGCACAGACCAGACTTCTTTATTCCCCCGGCCCCGGCCCTCCGGGGGTCTGAGGGAATGGTCACTGCTACCTTGCCACTCCAGGCCTCTGTCCTCTCATGCTTGCCTCGACCCGAAGCTCAAGGATATACGCCAACCTCAAAGAGCACTTTACGGTTATCAAAGCTTTTTACATCCGTTGCCTCCTTTGTTCCCCCAAGCACCCTTGTGAGATGGAAAGGACATGGAGTATCATCTCCATTTTTAAAGATGAAGAAATAGGCTTGAGTACCTTGTTTGAGCTGAAACCAGATTCCAGGAGGGGGAAGGGAAAAGGAGGGGGAGACAAGCACCTGGGTCTCCCGCCTTTTGCCAGTGCCACTCAGGGATCCCTGCTCTGGAGCTGGAAAGAGCTGGAAAAATCACAACCACCAGGGGCACCTGGGTGGCTCAGTTGGTTAAGCGACTGCCTTCGGCTCAGGTCATGATCCTGGAGTCCCGGGATCGAGTCCCGCATCGGGCCCCCTGCTCAGC